CGGCGGTGTATGAAAGCTATCGGCTGGTGGCTGAAATCCCGAAGGCTGAAACTGCGGCTGAGAGGGCTGAAACTGGGTCTGAGTCTGAGAAGGCTGAAACTGGGTCCGAGAAGGCTGAAACCCATAAGAACACTCCCCATGAAACTGCGACTGGGAGGGCTGAAACTGCGGCTGAGAAGGCTGAAACCCCGCAGAAGAGGAAACTGCGGCATGAAGTCGAAGGAAGTAGTAGCCGGACAGGACGTGCTCGCTGACGATCTGAAATCCTAACTGGGTGAGGTACGTAGCAGTGCTCACGTAACTGTCTGCTCCTCCTGGGCTCCTGTGTTAACTATGGTCCTCGCACGTCCCACTCATGTCTCTGAGCAGTACGCTCTGGCCAACTAGCAACGCTGCTCTCAGATGGCTGCCACTGCACCGGTACCGTTATATCATGATGTCGGCGAGAATCCAAACCTAGAGCAAACCCCGGCCACCATCATGTCGGCCAACTCCATCCTATCGTTTGTGGACAACTCTCCTTCCCGTAATCTCAGCTCAGCGAACTCAAAGGTGTCGTACTGCAAAATTTATTTAATATATCAAATATTCCACACAACTATGAATTTCAATCAACTAAGTATATGATAGTAGCTATATACTCATTTCAACGACTCCACAAATCAATCGACTCTCAAGAGGCGTGCATCAACCGTTGCCCTCGCAATGGCCCACGAACAGTCTGGCGAAGAAATCACCTAATCTCAGCCTCAGGAGTTGGATGATGAGGCTCGTTCTACATCATGCCAAACTGTCGGAGTACACAATCTGGATGGTGCCACATCACTACTGAAAAGCAGATTAGTGGAACCACTACTCAAAAGGTATCTGACTGTGGCACACAGAACCCCTAAACTGCTCGCCTCTCTCCTAGTAAGGCATCCACTACACACAACAGGTGGGCACATTATTACTGAATAGTCTAAAAAAACTAATATGAACTATGAACTATTTTGTATGAAATGTTATTACTAACCACGATTGTCGACAGCAAGTCAAAAAACAACTTATAACTGAAGAGCTGGTCACCATGCTGACGGGACATGGTCGGAAGCCATCGAGCACCATGTGGATATGCGTCCTCTGTGATAGGCTCATCCGTCACTGTATGTCGTGGTGCTATCACTGAGAATCGCTCCCACGCCCAGAGCTGCAGCAAGGCGACCCAGCCACCAAGGTCACCTCCGGTGGAAGAGGACTGTGTCATATGCAGAACCGACCTACCCATCTCACGGTACAGGTAGGCTAGAACAGCTGCTCCCAAGCGTAGCATCCAGCGCTCCGCCAATTCTCCAACAGTAGTAGATACTGCAGATGAACTGTAGCTCCAGTCCGATCGGGGAACAAGATACACCCCATCAAAGATAAGGCATACGCTCGTGCAAACTGCCAAGTAATCTCTAATGATGCATTTGGCGGCAGATTGTTGAAATTCTCCCTAAGCCAACTAATCCTAACGATACCCCCGTTAAGATCGTTAGGAGCATGTCCTAACAATCTGATACAGGTCTCCAACCACTCTCGATCCGGTACGTCTACTATGACGGTCTCACCGTCGATCGGTAGACCGCTCAGTGTGCAACGTCCTCAAGAGTAATCGTAACCTCACCAACCGGCATGTGGAAGGTCGATGTATCAGGACGCCAACGCTCTACGAGAGTAGTGATCAAAGATGCATCAATACAACCAGTCATAGAGACCAACTGTTGAACGCTAAACAAACCGGCATCCTGGAGATACGGCTCATAACATGGATGGTACGTGACCAAATGGGTCGTACCTCGAGTATGGTAAACGCGATCACCAACCTATAGTGCACAAAACTTATATTAATTCAATTTCATGGCGTAATTCTATTTTCAGATCAAATTTTAAAATCTATCTAATTTAGTAAAATATATATAATCAAAACTAATACTAATTTCACAAAATTTCACATGCAATTCTAATATTTCAGTTTAGTTCACCTAGTAAAATCTATCTAATCAAACTTATACTAATTTCACAAAATTCTAATCTAACTAGTTAATGAACTTTAATGAAATAAAATACTTACCTCGTTTTGCCAAACTGAGACGGCACGATGTTGACCATGTGCCCAAAGAAGTACAGAATCAACCGGAGCTGCATCAATCGTCGCAAGTGGTCGTCTCGTGGAATAAGTGTCAAGAATCCTAGGAACTGCACAAAAAAAAAAATAGAAGCGGGAAAAAAACCCGCCTGCGGCGAGCTTCCGACGGTGACTCGCTCACCTCGATATCAGCCACGTGCCTGCCGTCCTCTTCGATGGCTTCTTCCTCCGGCGGCCACCTGTTCTTCGTCGGAGTCCGACATCAAAACCAGAAAACAGATCTGGTTTTCTTCCGCCTCTTCCCTCATGCGCGCTTCCGCGCGAGACTGGTCTCCTCCCGCAGCTGTCGACGGCGACCTCGCATGAGACAGGCTTGAGACGCGGTGTTTTGGAGCGGGCTCGCAGGGCGGCGGCACGGCGCAGCGTAGGTTTTGGGGCGGGAGAGGTGTGTTGGTGGTGGTGGTCTACTGCGGGAGGTTGGGGAATGAGGAGATAAGGGTAAAGAAATAGGCCAATGCGAGCCTGCACAAGACTCGCGCGGGTCCGCACTGCCGATGCGAGCACGCATAAGTCTCGCGTGGGTCCGCACTGAGCTGGTGTGAATTCGCATTTCAAACGGCTCGTTTTGAGTCTCATGCGGAAACGCATGTCTTCCCCCATAAAAACACAATATCTGTGTCAATTAAATGAAAATCACCATATTGGTGGTAAATAAAAAAAATCCACATTATTTTAGGAATTTACCCGAGTGGATGCAGCTTCTTTTTCTTGGAGGTGACGTTGCACAGACACGCGTACACGTCAGTCACTGTTGGATGGGCTGGAAAAAACATATAAAATTGTTTTGAAAAGCTATGGAGTAGTCCAGTTAAGAATGATTTGTTTTGTGTGATGATATGTATATCATGAGATTTTGATCTCTTTTATCAGGTTGGGTTTAGATCGTGGTTTATTGGATTATGGGTCGTCTGATTCATAGATTTGAAAAATGAAGATTTTGGGTAAACCTGGATTTTGGAAAATCATAGATATATGTTGGATTTGGTGGAATTATAAATTTGAGCAAGAATATTGTTTGCTTGTTGGATTTGATTACGAATTTTATTTAATTAGATTTGTAGATATGAAATACAAATTATCTTGTTACCTTATTTAATATTATTTCTATATGATAATCCAAAATTTTCATTAAAAACAAATCCAATACATACAAAGAAATTTTAAACTCTTTATCACTATGTGTGGACTAATAATTCAACTAAAAATATAGAAATGTATAATAATTTGCCACTAATTAACTATTCATCTAATAATATACGCAATATTATGTCGGTTGCAACTTGCAACCAGTTGCTCGCCTTATTGTTATAACTTATCATCTTCTTACTAACTCCTCGATTTTGGAATCCGATAGTCAATCAAATAATAATACACAAGATGAGCATAAGGTGTTTATAGTTGAATCTAACAAATCACATGTACATTCATATTTAAATAAAATAAATACGACATTACAAACGAAATGATAAACTCTCATTCTTATATTTATAAAATACAACATTACAAAAGTTTATAGTTGCATAACCATTAAAATAAAATAGGACAAATTTATAATTAAGAAAGGGAAGAATAGTAAATTATCATCATGGATTTTTATCCATCCACACCCAAATTCCACCTCAAAAGGTGAAACTTCCAAATTCGTGGGATCCACGGATTTGAACACTCAAAGTCCGTGGGCCCACAGATTTTATCCTCCTAATTCCTTAATTAAGGGTTTTAATGATTGATTTGGCCATGGATCTGTTTGAGGGTTTATATGCTTTAATTATGATGATTTAATATAGGTTAATTACTCAAATTATCTGCTTAAATTATGTAGGTTAATTATCTGCTTTAAATATGTTAATATTTAATATATACGAAAATTATGTCGGTTAATGTTTTCATTTAATTGAAATTATATAGGAAAGGTAAATTTTAATTGATAAATATAAGAAATTTTAATAATTTAAATATAGAATTTTATTTCATGAAAAGTATTAATTGTTGTACGAACCTTAAATTGCAATTGACAATTTAAGCAAGAAAATTAAGTTAGAATTTATCGTGAAATATATTACAATTTCGAACATTATATTGTGATGGGAATTTTATTGTAATTGAAATTATATACAAATGTTAAATTATAATAGACAATTTAAGCAAGAAAATTAAGTTAGAATTTATCGTGAAATACATTATAATTTCGAACATTATATTGTGATGGGAATTTTATTGTAATTGAAATTATATACGAATGTTAAATTATAATAGAGAAATATAGGAACCTTGAACATTTGAATATAAAAATTATTATATGAGAACTAGCTAATATGAACATTGCTAATAACTATTACATGATGATAATAATTTGAGAATAATTTTAATTCAAATTTTAATAGGTAGAAAATGGTGGATACAAGAAAAGAAGAAGATGAAGGAGGTAGAGCCGTCGAGGGTGACCAACCGTATAGTATTGAGGTCGCGTCGTGAGGAAGCCGAGAATGAGCGTCGACGTGCTAGATTTGTGGAGAATCCTTCTCCCCCGCCTCCCGTGCATTTTGACTTAGATAGAGCTTTTGAGGGAGTGGATGAGTATGATGGCAGTGATGACAATTATGATGACCTCCCGGATTGTGATTGTCCTTCACACCATCAATCATCCAAGTGTTATCCTCCGGGAGTCCCACCAGTCTCACTCGAAAACGACAACCATCTTCAAGTGACTTTGTGTTGGATCGTCCTTTCTTATCCGGGTCCGGGACATATGTATTGTTCTTATATCCACGATGGCAGTGAAGATATATTCGGGGGTACTTCTCGCCATCATTTGATTTGGTTGATGAATGTGTCAAAAAGAAACCAAGATCTTTTGCAATCACTTTCGCAGCTTCCATAGCTTCATTCCATGACTTATATCTTGTATTTGTTATGAAAAATTGAGTATAATCAACTTTGTCTCCCTTATCTTTCGGATCTCCCTAAAATAAACACATTTATCTTATTAGTGATACTAATTTTGAAATGTTTGTTGTAGATTAAATTATTCCAATTTGATATAGATTGATGTCTTACATAAGTTTCAACACTTTTCACGACTTGTAATGTTTGTTGTAAATTGAATTCTTACAATTTGAAATGGATTGAGTCTTATGTAAGTTTTAGAAAATTTGATGGCTTGTTTGCAATATTAGATTTTATATTTATCTTCTTATTAAAAATATTAAACACGTTATCAACAATTATTCAATATTCAAACATAAACTAATCCAATACATTTTCAACAAAAATTAGCACATTTATCATGATTAACTACCAAATCCTAATATTTCAACATGCAATTAACAAGTAGACACGTACTAATTAAATTATCAACAACACAACGTTGTTAACAATTATTCAATATTCGAACATAAACTAATCCAATACATTTTCAACAAAATATTAGCACATTTAGCATGATTAACTACCAAATCTTAATATTTCAACATGCAATAAAAAAGTTTTTAACAAGTAGACACGTACTAATTAAATTAGCAACAAGACAGCAAACCCGAACCCGCCCCAACCCGGTCAATAGCCATCGGGTTTAAACCCGAACCCGGCCCGAACTCGGTCAACACGGATTTTACCCGAGTTGACCGGATTGGGTTGGGTCGGGTACCCACGGGTCCGGCGGAGGTGGCGGTCGCCGCGGGAGGTGGCAGTCGCCAGTGGCGAGTATTGTAGGATTGTGTTTGGAAAAAGTGTTTGAATTTTTTGGTCTTGGAATGTGTGAACTAAATGTATTTAAATGTGATGGATATTATTGTACTTTTTATAATTTAGGACTACAAATAAAGACAATTTAGGGCTACAAATAGTACGCCCTTTTGAAAATGGTTGGTGGAGCTAGTATTTGTGTTTGTATATTTTATTTGTGATTATGAAGAAATTAATTTGGTATTTAGTATATATTGATACCGAATAAAATTTTAGGAATTGGAATTGAGATACCGAATTTATTTTGAGATAGATTGAGATTGAGTTAAGGGTACTATTTGATATTCGGAATTTTGGTAGTAAGTATTAGAATACCGATACCGATTTCTACCCTAAGACCAGGTCTATCGTTGTCTGAGGTATCGTTGTCTGAGGTATATTGGTCCTTAAAATATCACTTTGAAGTTTTTATTAATTATATCTATCTCAAAATTATTTCACTTGCATTTTGGACATGATCATAATAGACAATATAATTCTGGAATCGGACTGCTGCAGTCCAAGGGAGGGTACACAGGGAAGGCGAAGACGTGTCAAAAAGAGAAGCAAACCACGCAGCTCATATAATGACAGACACTGCTGCAATACAAAACAGCATAGAAGTCTGGTGTACTGATGTACATGACAGATGGATCATTGAACAAAGTCGAGTTTTCGTCCATCCTCAGAACAAGCGCAGAAGGGACAGTCATTTCCCAAGCCATAAATCATATACAAATGTGCAACTTCAACTTGAGAACGAGCAACTGGTGCTACATCCTATATATGACATAGAAGCCGGTTGCTGATCGTTTTTGCTGAGAAGCCAGACCTGGCTTGAAAGTAGAGAATACAGGACTGTTTTCTACAAGAACGTCTGGATTAGGCCACCAGCCTGACAAAACAACAATACGACGCAATGGCATGGTCAATCGTTACGAATCCCTCCCATGAAAGTTCTTGGATCGGGGCAATTCCCTGTAAATTGAGCTTGTGAGAAGTCGAAACCCGGATTCTGCATAAATGGAAGGTTACGTTATTAGCACCTGTGAAGATAAGATTCGTGCACGAAACTAAAGAGAATCAAGAGGCAGTCAGTCGTTAAGCTTAAAGCATTAGAGAGTCTATCAGTTTCACCACGACTGCAGAGTCATAGAGGTGCAAGGTGAATTAAGCTGGATAAACAAACGAATGAGTTCCATGCATAAGGTGGTGATTGCCAAATTGAACAATGCTGAGTGCTGACCCAATTAAGACGTTTTAAGCTAAAACTATAAGCAGCCCAACATAAGGTAAAACCAATCCATCTCATCTCACATTCAGAGTGTCAAGTCAACAGTGTGGTAGAGAATGCCATATATACTTCAATTAGCAGGAAAGCATTGTGTCACAGCATCCTGGTTGAAAAGAATGATATAACGTAACAGTCTACCGGGAATAGCAAATCATTGAATGTTTTAGAAATTCGACCTCGTAATCAACATACACATTCACATCCAAGGCGGGAGTAAGCTATCAAACCTACTGAGCATTCTGGCCCTTCCGTGGACTATCTTTCACATAACACTTTCACCAAATCTTAGCATATTTGACAGAAGCCAGAAGGAGATTACTACTTTACTCATATACCCAGTTCCTTCTCAAGATTCAAGAATTCATTAAAAGTGTCCTAGCATCAGTAAGATCTCCAGTTATTATATTATGAAAGAACTGTTTACAAAATCTGGCAATAAGGGATAAGCTACACACAAAAGGGTACTGGTTATACCATCAAATTTCTGAAACAATCGGAAAGATAGGTGCACCAGCAAACACGCCAAACTCTAATGATCAGTGAAATCGTGCATTGTTCAGCCATTGAAACACAATAGAAAAAACAAAGGGAACAAAACTGTAGACGTATGTATGAACAACAATAATTAGAGAGAAACCAAATCACACGCATTAGCAACTTACCTCTTCCTGAAATCTCTGGAGCATAAGACGCTTCTGCTCAATATCAGCTGCATAAGGATCCAGCTGGCCATCACCCTAAGAGGAGAAGCCCACATCTGCCCCTTATCCCTCTTTTGCAGAGTAATGTGCATTATATCATCCTCTAACACGAGACAAGAAAAGAACCCAACTTAATTCACCAACACTACCCATTTCCCGTCCACAGGCAGATGAACAGATCGTCCTTCTGTAAACTTCCAAACTCTCAGCAAGTTCCCAAACCCACACTGTCTAGACCACATAGCAGAACGTAGATAGCAAAATTTGACGTACCTATAGTCCAGAAAGAACAGTCTGTCTTCACCGGATGAGCGAGGTCATGCTGCAAATCAATCAAATTACAGACATCACATAATCATCGAATCCTCGAGGGAACATAAACTAATCGAATCTGGAGAGTGTGCAAAAACCGGAACCGACATCGAGAAAAGGAGGGCTGCCTTTGATGCCGAACGTGAGATGATTAGACCGAATCACGCAGTGGAACTGCTGCGGACGAACTTCCATCGGCCTCTTTATGTACATATTAACCTCGTCTAGGGTTTGGTCCCATTCAAACACCGTGTTGCCTGCAGAAATAGCAGAGCAGCCAGGAGGACGCAATCAGATAGAAGGAACTCCAATTGGCTCACCAGAATCAGATATCGGAAATAGTCTACTGAATCGACTAAGAGTCAGAATCAGAATCAGGGAAAAATTGGGGAAAATGGAGACCGTTGTGAACGAAGCTGTGACGCTTCTCCGGAGCCAATTTCTCTGCCATTGCGTCCCTTCCTCTACGTTGCGTGAGCGGTGGGCCTGTTCGTATGTGTGTTTCTATTGGCTTCTCCCTCTCTTGCTTGCTCTGTTCTGTTTTCTGGTGGAATTAGGGCTGGGGAAATTGACGAGGCGGAAAAATGGACAAACTGAACCGCAGAGTTTAGTCCGGGACCTAGTTGCTTTGACGACCAATACTTTCATTAGCAGCAGCAATCTACAGAACCAAGCAGAGCAAAAGCCCATATGAGAAGAAGAAAAAAACAGAATTCTGATCGACACCAGAGCAGGATAACCTCTTTCGGGAAACTATGAAGATACCCAAAATAGGAATACAAAACAAAAATGGAAGCACATGGAACCATCAACAAGGAATTTAGCAGACTAACTGATTATCTTTCACTTGATGAAATAGTAACTAACCTATAAGCAGATAAACACCATTTATTTCAAGATTAAAAATACCAAGACAAGAACGAACATTGGAAGATGATGAGGGGGGTCATCCATTGGAGGATTTACACAAATACTGAGCAGTAACGAGCAAAAGAAAACAAAAGCCGTAAAAGTACGAACGCTGGCAGAAACAGATAACATGCATTGCTAAATCCTTCTATTGTCAGCATTAGAGGGGAAAAGAAGACAAGGTCCGGAATGGGAAAATTACATAATTTGACTCATGGAAAACCAACAATTCACAGCAGCACAGGTCCTGGATTCTGATATACAACACAAAACAAGATGTGTCTTCATCGTCACCAAGAATGAGCCATCAAACCACAAGCAAACCATGACAAGCACCTACTTCACCTTTTCCACTCAAACAACCTCTAAAATCCTTAACGAAAACCCGATCTCATACACACAGCCTCCCAAACTTTGCTCACATGTATAAATGAGCGGCAAAAGCATCTATCAAGAAAATAAAACATGCTTTAAATAGAAACGAGTCCGGCTGTGCCGAACACAGTGATTCCAACACATATACACATTGCTGAATCGGAATGGAAGAACATAAAGCAAAATAGACACCTTGCTACAAAGCCACCATTGACAGAGGAATCCCTTGAACAAAACAAGCTAAAACCCACACTTAAAATACAGCAAATTCTCAAGATTATCAAGTGCGGCAATAGCAAGGACTATTAAAGCTATTGCAGAACGAGAGCATATAGGTATATATACAAGGAATCAAGAAAGGCATTTAATTTATGCAGGCGAAAATTGTACAGCAATGCAAGCACAAGACAATGTCCAAGTACAACAAAACCCCGATCCAGGCCACATGCTGAGACGGATAACGAAAGCCTCAGACCTCATCGACGAAACATTTCGAAACGTAGCTAATCTGACCTCAACGCAAAATACCTTAGAATTAGCTCAGCACGTTACCGGGAAGTCGTCG